AAAGATTTTTTTTTTTATTTATATTAAGCCTCGGCGTCAAAGGCCATTGGCGTTGGTTTACAATAGGTTACATATGTATACAATTATTTACATATTTACAGGTTATATACAATTTATAAGCTTGGACTTAATTATAAATGTTATCATATTACTTTAACAAAGTTTATACCTAATAGTAATTTATACTTAATTTGTATGTGTTTATACACAATTAAGAATAACACTAAATACTAACTGTACAGTAATAAACTATTTCTAAAAAGTTATGAGATAATAATGTAACAAAAATAATATGAATAAGATATATCAATGTATCATAGTTAATTATTTAATTATTTACAAGTTGGCTTTAAGTTCTAACAGTACATGATAGTTCTTAATATTCTAAAACTGTGCATTGGTACGTTCAATTCATGAGTATGAATGTTATTTTGARACGCATTTACGGTAACTTACTCTTTAATGCTTGAGAGAGTTAATCACAGATTACTGCGCTTTGCTTGTTTTTTCCTATGAATTTCTTGTATCTTATGGTTATATACTATTGCCATTCGTAGCATTAATTTATCCAGATCCTTATATAACCGAGGAAAAACAAATCTCTGGTTCCTTTCTAAACTTTTGTCGGGTATAATTAATAACCCTGAGTTATTAGCAAAAATACATTTTAGGATCGCCGAATATCCAAATAAAAGATCTTRGGGATYCATTATTATGTTTTCTGTGCATATGTTTTTACTATGTTTACCTAGCTAYTATAAACTACTACTATTACTACCTAGGTATATTTTTCCAATCGAATTTAGATTATCGATCTATAAATCAATCAACAATTAAACAAAATTCGATGGCCATTCACTTTGACTATTGTCTCATCCCATTTTACATAGTATTTTATATTATGTTTGCATGATGTATTACCTATTGATGTACTCATACTTAGTCTTAGATTATAAATCTTATACGGTTTTAAATATTTTATTTTTTAAAAAAAAAGGTATGCTATGCGTAAAACAAAACCCTGTACATATATGGTGGGTTTAATYAATATAAACCAATAGAATAATACACGCGTATATATAGTCGCCTCATTTTGTAAAATAAAATTTATATCTAGGTAAATCAAACATTGATTGACATGATACAGTGAACCTTAGAATTGACCATCCCAATATTCTTCATTCTAGTCTAAACACCAGATATTAATTCCAGGTTAACTATAAAGTATAATGTTATAAATCTTACATCAATATTATATTTTATTTAGCGAAAATCTTTGTCGTTTTAATTAAGTCTGAAACACTTTACTCGTATWATATAATAGTTCTCGGCTCGTGGCGGCTCTACGTTTATCTTCGTTGCGTTTGTAATATTTTAGTGCAGATTACCCAAATAATTTATACCAGTTTTAAATCCATTCCGATTGCCTCTAATTCTCCCTAGGCCATCCGTTCTTCTAAAATTGTTGTAAACGTTATCTTTTATGCTAATTTCTTATCTTACTTTATAACGTCCACCCATTTTATTCCCGCTCGTTATTTACTATCATTAAACGGTGTACTTTTACATTATTCTATATTCAGTTCCTATAGTTTTATATATTTTTCTTACCATTGTCCATTACAATCCATTCATCTTTTTACCTCCAACTAAAAACTATTTTGACTAACTTGTCATCAATCGAACTATTTACATTCATACTATATAGTTTATTATATACCAATATTATWAGATCATTGTATTTAATAAGCTGGAAGTTACCRATTTAAGATTAAAATAAGGTAYGAAAGATTAATTTTAAAAATGACATAGATACTTCATATTATTTTCGATGATTTGTAAATAAC